AAAATTTATTCACTACCCTAAGAATTTATCTATAAATGATCAATATGTGAAAACACGTCATTCCCAAAGTTTTTCAATATGACAAAAAATAAATAAATTATTAACAAGAAAGTCATTATAACGACTAAGCCAAAAGCTAACCGACGAAATTGCCGCATTTGGTCAAGACGGCTTTCTAATTTTTTGTGCTGGGGACTGAGTCTCCATGTTAACTTGAGCTGTTCATCACGCTTTTTCTTTGACAGATCACGCATCAAGGTTGCTAGTTTATCATATTCATCATTCCATGTAGAAAAAACAGCGAAACATTGAGCCATTAAACTATCAAAATCTACCAGAGGAATATTCATCAATCGTCTAGTACCAAGCGCCTGAAATTTTAATGGATCCAACTGAGTTTAATGATATAGAGTAAGAAGGGAAAGGAATGTAGATACGTACTTCTATTTTTCTAGTATCAAATCTTGAGTTTGGTGCGCAATAAATGATAGTAACCTTTAACATTTGGGTAGAAACATCCTTTGAAATGGCCTCCACAAAGCGTAGCGCTCGAGCAATCGGATATTTTGTATTACGTAATTTTCTCATATGAGTAAATATATTCGCCAAAGCATTTTTAATGCTATCCATATCTGTTGCGGCCATCAATTCATTCAAAGGCAAATCCTTCATCAGCACATTGTAATCGTTCACCATTGCTAACGTCTGCTTAAGGCCTGCATTGAAGTCAAAAATAATTCCCTTTTGTGTATAAAAATAATTTACCGGACAATTATATATAATAAACTCATTGTTGTCATCAATAATGGGACATATTTCCAACATGCATAACAACCTGTATCGGCATCAAATGATACTGTTGCATGAAATCGCTTGCCGCATTTCAAAGCTTCTAACGTCAAAGTTACTTCGTCTGATTCTCTCTTCTGCGCAATTTTTTGCAGAGCTCTTTCCAAATTCAGCCAAAATGTCATTTCTTGCAGTGAAGTTCCTGAACCCGCATCGCGATCGAGCTTTGTCACCTTAACACCAAAAATAAAAGATTAAATGAGAATACTCTAAAGAAGTGCGTAAAATTTAGCACCAAATCTGTGCAAAAAAAAAAAACAACTGCCTTCTGAATTTCTTTAACCCATCGGTTAACGCCTTTCTGTAGAGCATTCAAGAACACTGAACTTTCGACCAGTTTGCCTAGATCGGTTACTCGAGCTTTATGTCCTTTTTCAGCAGCTTGCTGAATAGTATTTTGAATCACTGGGTGGATAGTCAAATTAATTTCTGGTATGTCTATATTTTGCTGCATGTGGAGTAGTGCCACTTCCACCTGAAAACAATGCACCCGAAGTAGACTATTATCCTGCTTCTTCGAAAATATATTGAAAACAAAATTTTTGGGAAATATACCTCACTCAGATGTTTTTCAACCGACAACGCAAGCTTGTCACCATCTCGTTCACCTCGTCCATAATCAACTAAAGACTTGAAAAGTGGTGTTCCAATGCGTCCGAAAATCGATAGAAGTACATCATAGGAATTACCTTCTGGTATTCTGCAGTATTTCATGAATTCATAGGTACAAAATAAATGGAGTAGTTGTAAAAAATGTCTCGAAAGTTTTCACGCAGAACACTAGAAAACGGTAACCTGACTAACCTTACAACATATAGTTGATCTTCAACTGGTTTGTCAGCTTCAACACATGTGCCATTTTTTAGCAGCAATAATGATGTTGTTCGTTCGGTACGTTTAGCCGTTTCATTGGAAATACGAAATACTGAAGTAACATCCTCAACAGCATCATCTGGATTTGTATCTAAATCGAAACTCACATAAACCAGAATATAATATATTATATTACATGCGTTAATCAAACAACAGAAATCTGAGCTTTTAAAACTTCGTGGGAAAAGATGTATTACTTCATTTTTACTTAAAAAAGATAGATCATTTCATAATAACATGAAGTCAAGATTTCTGCATAATGAAAACTTTTTTCTGACCATTCATTTCGAAAAGTTCTCCACAAACCTCTCGTAATGATCCGGTCGACAACCAACATCGGTACCTGTGGATCACCAATGAACTTTTGCAGGCATTCCGCATTTCCACTCTGTGAAAAAGCTTCTTCTAATGTCGTAGCCCCTGCACCAATGAATTCATGCTTTACATAATCCAACAGAGTAGGAATATCAACCAACGCTACCTAAAATGGAATTTTAGTGGTTAAAACCTATAGGAATTTTAATCGTTAAAACATATAGAAGAGTAGTTGAAGTAATTCACTTCGTTCCCTCAATATGCCCACTCAATCATCTCCTTTATTGTATTATGCTTATAAGACTCTTATCCTTTTCACTTTTCGTTTCTTTAGTGAAATATCCGTTATTCGAAAGGAATCCCTAAAAGCAATTCCTATTTTTGACCACTTTTGTGCATTCTTTTTTCTTTTAGTTTCAAATTCGTTCGCGTATTTTTTTCCCGTGATTCGCTTGTGCTTTATGAGTGCTTGGTTGCATATTTCAGCATGCGACAAGATCAAACTACTTTCCGGGAATAAAAGTAAAAAATGCTCGCTAAGAATAAAAGTCCTTCAAAGAAATATTTTTTACACGGCATGCTTTTGCATTTCAGTAACTATAATTCATTGGGGTTCCATAATCTTAATTACCATTAGCTTACTACTGGTCATTCGTCCACATCTCTTGCTGGTTTTAGCAGTTCAATCCGTCCAAACGAAGGCATCTCTGGATATCTTTTATATTTTGGTTCATACAAAAAAGTGATTTTATAGCAGGCATATAATACGCATCAAAAACTAACTACCGAAGCTCCAAAAGTGAAAAAGACACAAGGTAAGTTAGCAGATTATGTGATAAGTGAAGGAACGTGGATAACGTCTAGTGCATGAATAATTCATGAAAAAATATGAACGAACTTCGCCGGCAGCGGGTGTTGTGGTTGCAACTGTTGACTTATCACTTTCGGAATCCGTCATTCGGCTAAACCATTCCTTAAAATGTACAATTTCAAGTTTCAATTTCTTGTCATTATGAGGTAATAATTCGTTTAGTATATGAAGTCGAGCACAAACAACACACCCCTCTTTGAGTAATTCCGCACCGGAAAGTAATCGTTCAAATAGTTAATGGTCTGAAGCTAGCGTTCCGCAAGAATTTCCCTTTCGTCGCTTCCCTTTAGATCACTATGACAGCCTAATGATAACAGAAACACTTCTTGCTATTCTTCTTGTATAGTATAAAATCCAAAAAAAAAACATGAGAATATGGATTCCTTAATCATAAACTAACAATTAGTCATCTCAGTCCATCCGCAACCAGATGGTTTACTGTGCAGTCTGTTTTTATAAAAGCTAAATCAAAATATAGTTTTCGGAGACTTTATGGGATTCCTCCAATCTAATCCGCTAGGATTTCGATGAATAGTCGGTATAAGGGCAGCTGACAAAATGGCACCATCATTACTACCATCAGCGCACCTCAAACCTCTCCTTCTTTTCGATGCTTCACTCAGTGAGAACACAGCATCAGTATCTACTGCAGATGAGAAGCTTACAATTTTTTATTTCGAAAAGAAGAAAATATGAGATGGAAAGAGAGCAGAGACAGCTGAACTATTGGAATATCCTTGCAGAGTGTCACCCTGCACTATGAACCCTCTTCCATCCATTTACAACGTGCAGCATACTTCCTCCTCACTATTTTCTGCCCTTTCCCACTGAATGTTCTCCAAAGTCAAACTTCAACAAGCTATAACTTTTCCTACAAATGCTGCAATGCACAAATAATATACAACAGATTATTTGAAGGAACAATGGGTCATATGGATACCACTCCATCCCATTCACGAAAACTTTGTCAATGGTCACCAGGGCGATGGTCATCATGACAGTATATACATAATAGATTGAGTCACTACACACAAACAATTAGTGATTTATCATTAAAACCTAAAGTAACAATTAAATTAAATGAACGAATAAGGGTCGGGAATGGTAAGAAGAGGAAAGTAAAAGAAAGAATGAGCAAAAATGTGTGCCAGTGCCTAACAGCTGTCTTTCATATTCATCCTTCACTCGCCACTCCTTTCAAAATCACCAAACATCTCATGCAATGGGGTGAAAAGGGAAAATAGTGTAGAAGCATCCTTAAACATATCCATAACAAAGTGAGTCATTACACAGAAGACTAGTTTTACCCGTTTAGAGGAACAATGAAATAGAGGTGTGTCATGACAACTGATGACCAGCGCTCTGTCACGAAAAGCGATGTGTGGAATTACTAATCACTTCACACACTTCATCTCACCCTTTGTGGTATTAACCTACGTGTCCCGCGTGTTAGATAATGTTCTATCTCGGTGTTTTTCAGTTTCTCATACCTATAGGAACATCATGACTTATCCATTGGAAAGTTCAACTTGGTCATTAAAGTGAGATTGACGAAGGGGGCAATTTGAGACCCTTAAATCTACACCGTTTCAGGATTAAAGAACTTCAGGACAAGAATGGTCTCTTACTAGGATAGTGTCGGAAAGAATGACAAAAGACTGCTATCTTTCCCCAGCTGTATTTGCACTTGTTGACCATGACAAAGAGACGAGGAATTAAAAAACAGTAGTGGTAATGAGAGATAGTAGGAATGATTGCATAGTTAAGGATAGCATTATGAGTAGGCGAATTGCAGCTAGAGGAAGATTCGGGAGTTATCTCTTTAGTAATAGATTAATTCTGTTTGAAATTGTAATGATAAGCAAGTAGAGAGAGGAGAAACGGAAACACTGAATGGGAAGTAGGAAATGAAATTAGATAACGGATATTAGAGGAAAGAAAAGTGTTGCGATATTTGCGCATTTTTTTACTCCTCTCATGCTTTATAACTGAATTAATAGAAGTGATATCGAAATGATATCAATGAAGTATTTGTAGTGTTTGTCCAGCATTACGCACTTCATTTGTATAGAAACTAATTGAATTTGCAGGGATGGATGATGACGAATTTACGGATGACGACGAGTTTGGAGAAGTCTCTGTATCTGCTCTGGCAGATGGTGGCAAGAAATGTACCATTTTTCTTGTTGACGCTTCACCCAAAATGTTCGAGAAATACGAAAATGATGATTCGGACAATGACTGTGCATTTCGAAGAGCTTTGAAAGTACAGTGCATCTTTCTGTTGTTGTTTCTATTCCATTTCTAGACTTTTTTGTTAGGTCTGATGTTACCCATCGGTTACTAGGTTTTCTTGATGTGCTTCTCAGTAGCAATTCTTGCAGATTATACGTTTGCAAATGGTCAACAAAGCGGTAACTTCAACATTCGGAGAGTATACTTGTTGTATCCTCCTTAACACTGTAATTTTTTGAACACTAATCTTAATATTTGTCAGCTTAGGATTTCTTAAGATTGCAATATCTCCCGAAATCTGTTCCACACGCCATCAAGACGTAAAGATGAAATGTTTTTGGAATGCGTCCGTTAGAAATAAGTAGAAGATTTCCTTTTTAATAACCGAAAGGCAATCATCGGGAAAAAACGGGAGCTGAAGAACGCTATAAAGTATATACTGTAAAATTCACTTTTCACTTTATTTTTTTAAAGCAAACTTTTCAGTGACTTACAATTGAGCAGGAACTGAAGAGATATTATTCTTCTAAAACATCCAAAGATGTACGATAGTCAGCAAACCCAGAACTTGAAAGTACTTATGAACAGTTGGAATGTTTTCAGCAAATTAAGTCGCATTCAATTGACCATGTATACGTTATGCAAGAGGTCGAAGAAGTGTCAGCTGAACGAATCAAAGAACTGGACCAGTTATTAAGATCAGGTATCTTTTTGGATTCGCTGAGTATTAGTTTTAGCACGAAAATCCTTTTATTGGGTAATTTTTATTGAGTACAGAGTCACATCTGATCCATCGAATGGAGTCTAACGACAGTACATTATCTTCAATTTAATTCAATTTATTTGATTTGCGGCTAGTTTTTCAGTTCTTTTCTATCCCGGTTTCTTAATTTATTATTGGTTTTCTAGTTTCTAGTGTGAAGGTTTAAATTCGAATTTATCTGTAGAGAATATATTGTCAGCTTTCAAGACTATATACGGTGGACACGGTCGTTGCGATTATAGCGAAGCACTGTTTTTATGCGTTAAACGAATAACTTCTCGGACGTTGGTTTCTTTGATTTTCATCTGAACGTTGTTAATTTAAATTTTTAGTTTTGATTCTACGTACGAGTTTCTTCTGGAACTTCATGTTTTACACTGTAGACATTTTGTACTGTGGGATGTTTTATGCTGTAAACGTAAATATCAAATTGCAGACCTTATTTCCGGAAACGAACCGTTTGTCTGTTCACTAACGAAACGAATTTATTTGGTGCAGATAATCAGCATCGTATTTCCACTTGCAAAAATGCCGATGATCTCCGCGGTCATAACACAGAGTTTTCGGTTTATCCACTTATTGCTGAAGACCATACATTTGGATTCAATGTTTTGGTGAGCTTTAATGATAATGAATACAAGGAAATTTATAAAACGTTGTTGGTACTGCTTTTGTTTTACTTTCTGTGCTGCAAGAAACAGATGAGTTAAATTGCACTTGACTTTTTAGAAGCTTTTTTTCGTGTGATTACAATTATTTCAGGAACAACTGGACCCGGATGTTGGAAAGAATTATGAAAATATCAGCGAACTAGAAAAAGAGTTCATTTTTAATGATTACTTATTCTCTGTTTTCATGATTATTTAATAAGGGCCTTGAAACAAACAAATTACTTCCATGAAATTATGCGTTTTAACTTATCTGTTTTACAGCATACCAAGGAAGCTATACACACATCGGAATATAGCAGGCATGGATTTCGAATTTGGAGATCGGCTAAAATTTTCAGTTGGAATGTATGTGCCTGTTTCGTATACACTTATACTTTTCTGTTTTCATGATTTCAGGAGCAGTCGTTTTTCAGCTATTCTTTGCTATGCTCGGAGAAGATTCCTCAGCCTGCAGCTCTAAATGCCGAAACAAATGAAATTATGCAGCGGTCGCATATATATGTTAATAAAGAGGTTTTTTTGTTTGGCTTAATCAGATACTTTCAGTAACCTGAATTATGATTTCTTTCTACTAATCTTTTAGATACGAAGAAAATTCATTTTTGAAATTTCCCAGTTAATTTTGGAGTAATTCTTGTTAAGACTGATGAGGAAGTGTCAGTGCTTAATAAGGAAATCATTCAAAAGCGACAAATTGGAGGTGAAACTGTTAATCTCTCCGCAGATGAGATCGAAAAATTGCGAAGGCTGACACCGCCAGGTTTTAGATTTTCCTGTATATTTCATTTTACAAGAAATAAGGAAAGGTGGTTAAAATCGATTCTTCTTGAAGTGAACTTTTTTTCTAACGATATTTTGATATGTTGTGTGTGGTTTGATCACTCCATTTCTTGAAAAAAAGGCTGGGTAATAAATATTTGTTTATCCTTTAGTACCCTTCAATTTTTGTTTTACTGTCGAGGTCGAGGTATCATTTACAGGCATACTATTGCTTGGATTTAAACCTCTTTCATGCCTTAAAATCACACATCACGTTCGAAGCTCACAGTTTGTTTATCCTCTTGAAAAGGTAAGTGAAGTTCATCTCTTAACTAAATAGAGAGATTCAATGAGTGATTTGAAAAATATGATAGTTCTGTCTTACGGTTGCATCACTTTTTTTTTTTATTTTATGTGGCGCGTTGCAAAGAAGTATAACTATTGTGGAATACAGTCATACTTTTTTGGGACATCCCAAAAATATTCAAAGCGATTTATGCAAACAAATTAATCTAAATTTAATTGAGATTAAAGTAAACTGATTTGACCAATATTCTGACTGGGCTGAAATGTATTTTGTTTGATTATGGTTTCAGGATATTTTGGGTTCTGTTCGAATGTACCGTACTCTTTATGACGTTTGCATGAAACAGAGGAAAATGATTATATGTCGATATACTCAAAAAGCGAATGTACCGCCAAAACTTGTTGCTTTGGTGCCACAAGCGTCCGTTGCTGAGGATAATTCAAAGGTTTTTTTTTTTTGAAAATGTTTGTACATAGATAATCTGCATTTACCTTTATTTAATCTTCCTTCAAAGCAAGTTACTCCCTATTCGCTTACTATAATCGATGCATATTTAGGGCGAGTTCAGCTCAAAATCTTGTTATCCTGGATTTCACTTGGTATATTTGCCATTTGCAGAAGATAAACGTGATCTCAGAGAACAAATGATTCATCCGGACGGTGATTGGCCAGCTGGTATTTTGTGCTTTTTGGTTGGAGAGTTGTGTATTATTGATTCTGGACAAAGTCTTGTTCGTAAACAGTAAGAAATATGGCGCAAGCAACAGAAAAGCATGATAACTACTGAGAATTTGAAATATATAGATTAAGAAGGCTTTAGTTTTCACTAAAACTAATAAAATCAATTTCTAGCGTCAAAAGAACAGATTGAAGTGGCGAAAAAATTGGTGAAAAAACTTACAGCTAGTTATTTTCCCGAAAAATTTTATAATCCAGGTGGGTAGCTTTATGTTTCTGCTATTATTTTGACAAAAAATAATACCAAATTATATGTAAGTAATGTGATTTTAAAGGTTTTGACGCTACTGTCATTTTCTTTTCGAAATATTCAAGGCATTATATCCATTACTTTCCAGTATTGCAAAAACATTACAAACTGATTGAAGCTTTGGCTCTAGATTATGATGAAGTGCCGGAAGTTCAAGACCAGATTCGTATGTTTTTTTGCAACTGTAAATCTGTTAAAAGGAGCAATTAAACGATTGCTATCACAAGCCTTGTTTAAAGGATTGACGTGCTTGAAGATGCCTGTTTGCAGTATTCAACAAATGAACAGCTCATAGAGCTGGACATTTAGTCCCATAGATTTCCATAGATATAAATGAACAGATTTATTGCACATGATTTATTTGCACATAGTTTTTGCCAATTTTTTTTTCAATTTAATTGGTACGCGTATTTTCTATTTATTCCACACGTATATGTAAATTGATTATAGAAAAGAAACATTCTAGAGCCGTATTTTGTGTACGATAATTTTCGAAAACGGGTAGAAAAGGAGTTGAACGAATTTCGTTCTTGCTTACTTCCTGATAGTTGCAATTCGAGACAGACATACTGTAAGGAAGCAAAAAAGACTGACCAAATAAGTTAGTTTTTTTTTTTTATTTATATATTGGACTGAACACTTCTTCATTCATTCCCATATTTCCGTATTGCTTGTAGATGCTTTCACTAATCTTCCGAAACCTTTTCACTTTGGAAGTAAAGTTGTTTTCTGTAAAAGTAACTGAAAATGTATAAGTTTGCTTTAGCAAAGTAATCTTAAACATTTTCAAAATAATTTTTTCCAAATAATTTTTACTAAACAGGTAGCACGTGGAATATAAAAACGAAGAAATCGACAAACGAAAGCTTGTTATATTTGGCTACCAATCACTTGGTAAATTAAAATGTTAATTTTATTTGACATACTATGGGAAATGTTCATCCTTAAAATTATTTCAAATATAATAACTTCATTGCTTCTTTGTGCTTCCACTGATGTTAATTTTTGTTTAAAGTGCTTTTATTTCGGTTTTTTAAGCATTGCAAAATTCAGCTGGAGAAAATGACGGTAACGCAGCTAAAAAAGAAAGCAGCCGAAGAGCTTGTTCCCATTAAATCACATGCCAAAAAGGCAGATATCATTGATGCAATCGAGAAACACTATGGAAGCTTATGAATTCCATCCTCACTTTTTTATAAATCTGATTGTATTAATTTGTTACTGGATTCAGAAAAAAACACTTCCTGGTTACTGGGTCAAACTATTTGAAATCTATTTAGATGTGAATTTAGATTTAAAATCTATTTAGATATTTAGAAATCTTTATTATATGTAGATCTTGTTTTGTGTTTCATAGATTTACTTTTCAAATTGTCGGTTAATAAGAAAGACTAGGTTCTGGACCAATTATATTATTTTTGTCATGTGCTTTCTTTTTAATTCTGATAATCCCTTTACCATTTACTTTTACAGCTTGCTCTTTTTTGGTCACGTAATGACATTTGAGAGTTAAAGTATTGTGTCGACAAATAGTTTATGTGGAAAATATTGGTCAGAATAAAAGTTTGAAAGTTTCATAAATGAATCCAACAATTTAATTAATTTCTAACAATACCTCTGTTTTTATCTTAAAATTGTTTTTTCAAATAGGTGTAAAATACAACAGAAGGTAGCGGATACATTATTGGTGTTTACCGGCGACCAAACTTCTCTAGTTCTTTTGTAGAAATGTACTTGCGACCCTTTTGAGTTTTTCGTCTGAAATATTCTCAACAAGGTGTTATACAAGAATTTAAAGTGTAAATTTAGGGATTTTGCTGTGGAA